ATCTGATTTCACAGTCAGTTGGGAAAAATTATATGATATCATGTGTTTCTGAAAATACGAATTTAACTGATGTTTCCTTCCAGTGGCGATAGTGTGTCGACCTAAAATAAAGGGCTGAGAAAAGCCGCTATTTATCCCTTCTAGAAGAAACAAATCTCTTGATGCTCCAGTTGAAGTTCATTTAACAGCATAGTTTGTGCATTTCTACGGTACACGCGTGCGCACAGACACACCAAGATGGGACCAACACTGAGCAGTTCATTAGTGTTGTTCTGGTAGGCTACACTGCTTTTTGTTCAGTGCGTTATTATTTATATGCCGTGCAGGTCGGAAATTTTTCGTTGCTCAAGAATTTTCAAGTTTTCCGATTCAAATCCTTTTGCATCTCAGCCGGGGTACAAGCATTCAATGGAGCTCGATCAGGTCTTTCTATTGTGCAAACGTTTTCGAGGGTATAAATGATGAGTCAACGTCTAACGCTGGTTTTCCATTTTGGCTGTGTTTCTGTGGAATTGTTTGCCTACATCATATTTCTAACTATATCAAGCTCCTTGGAGTAATCGGAAAGCGTATTGCGAGGTGCATTTCAAGAGAACTAAACCAACACTATCGATAGCTGCATAAAGTGGCTAGAAGCAATTATATTTTCGCACACTGCCTACCTTGATAAAGAGCTCTCACGCCACATTAAAATAGCATTCTATCGAACGCACGCAAGTTTACATGTCAAGTGATTGTTTTCATACGTTTTTTTGATAGAGCATAGTGAAGTTAACTCAGAATTGACTTCAAACGATTACTGTGCTTGAATTACAACTGAAATACTTAAAGAAAGAGTATGAATCTCTTAACCGAGATCTAGAGCAATTTCACTCCCTTGACTATCGTTTTAGCACTCCAGATATACCAAAGATGGAACAGGTTCTATCCGTTGGGAGTTTTATACATGTCTACTCTTGGCCGACTGGAATAGGTACAGCCCGTCAAAGAGCCTACTCGGTTTGGTAAAAAACTTGATCTAATATTCATCAGTGGACGTTCACAAGTGTCCAAGTACCTCAATGAAAATTGCAGGGTAGGTTATTTATTGCAACTTATTTCTAAATTGATAGAATCTGCGATCAAATATCCCCATACCATACTGTGAATTGTCAATCTTCTCGGATCGTATAAATTTTTTAATTTGGGATACATTTTTTCTTAACACAGAATGTTCAAATTATTTGCGATGAGTTCTACCACCTTGTACAGCATAGCGTTGTAATAGTAGCTCCAGAACTAAAAAGAACTTGAAAAGAACAGTTGCAGTGCAGGCATCTGGGAAAAGGTAGTCACTAATCTTCATAAAATAAAGAAAATATTAGGAAAATAAAAGACTTTAATCTGCTGACGCTCCACACCAGAACGCTGTGTTATAACATGATCACAAAATAATGCTATGCTCTGGAGGGCGAATGGTGCTGGTGGGAGCTAAGTTAGTAGGCTTAACCCCAAACTTTGGACCCCATGTAAATAGGAAATCAATTTGTGTTAACTCGATTGTAACCTCTGATGTATCTACCTTAACTGATCTTTAATGGCTACTTCATGTATACTTATAGCACCACTGTTTACAGCACTACTTATAGTACGCCATGACACACAATGGTAGTAATAAACTCCAGACTGTTGAATTCACACTTAGTGGCATATGTCGCCAAATCAGATTAGTTCGGCCATCATGCTTACCAGGCCTGACAACATCCCGCCAATTCTAGTCAAGCACGGAGGTCCGGACACCTGTTTTTGCTTATTGTAATTACACTTTCCATGCGCGATGGGGGGTATCCTATGCACTACAACGATCAACTATAATATCACGACAGAGAAGCGGATCTATGCAATACGTAAAAAATTACTGCTTAATCCAGCACACACCTATTATCATTAGAATCATGGTGAGGTCAGTTCAAAAAGCACAATAGAGTATTTCAGTTCTGTGAACCTTCTCAGTAAAAATCAGCACGGTTTTCTGAAAGGTAGGTAATGCACTACATTTCATTTAGTTTACATTAATTACTTTACCAGAGCAAGAGACGCCGGAAGTGTCATCACTGTACTATTTCTTGATATCCAAAAGGATTTCGACCGTGTCCCAAACAAGTTAGTGTTGCAGAAGCTTTGTCTATGGTATCACAAATTCGCTTTTAGATTGGTTGTCTTCATATCCACGGGGTAGGAGGCAAGTAGTCAAATGTGGCAACTATATCTGAAGCCACCTCAATCTCTAGTGAAGTGATTCAAGGTAGCGTGCTAGCCCGCTTTTATTTTTAATCTATTTCAACGATCTCCTTTATGAAATATCATACGGGAAGCCATTCCTTTTCGCTGATGATGTTAAAATTGTGTATTGTTCCCCTATGGGTAAAAGTTTCCTAATTTAGCCTGTATTCAGTCTGCTATAAAGCACTGAAACACTGGAGTAAATCCTGGAACTTGCAGTTTGCCACTGAGAAGTGCACTTTATTGTGCGACCGCTGTGGCCCTTCTCCCAACATCCTAACCATAATCGACACTCATATTCTTGTATGTGGTGCAATAAGAGACCTTAGTCTAAGATATTCTGCCTCATTTAATTTTTAGAGCATTATATTCTTGTAAACCTCTACCGGAAAATTGATGGCCTAAATAACTGGAACTCTTATCTTGAGGGATACTAGGCTTCAAGCAATAAAATTGTGTTAGGCCGAAGCTTGTGTGCTGTAGGGTAGTGCAGGTTAATCTGAGAAAGTGGACATTATAGCATTATAAATCACTCAACGATTTTTCACAAAGAGATATTTGAACACGCCTAGCACTATGGCGTACCGTTGGCCTGGCAGGGCTCTAAAACTAGAGCCCCTATGGCTGCGCGGACTGAAAATTATTCTGTGCCTTCTATACCTTTTACTATGCGAATTAAGCTTCACTGCTTATCCACAACACGAGATTCAGACTTGTATGCGCTATGAATAAAGAGACAAGGAGCGCACATTGCAAATACAAATTCTCGCATCAAGCATTGCTCAAATATTTTTCTTCCACCGAGTATTAGTAACTGCACTACCCATCCGCAATAAAAACGTATGATTAATATTCACCTGACTATTTCAAATATATGTTCATCAATTAGCCAAAAAATGAATCTAGATGATTTATATGAGATAGGTCCTGGAGAAACTGAAATGTAGTCATATTTCTTACTTGTCTCAATAGTTGACTTTACGTACAAATATATAATTCTTAATTATGTATCTACACACTGCCATGCTCTTTTCAATCTTTCTAACCCATTCTGTTTTCTTCTTTGATAACTGGTTCGAAGACGCACTACGTCTTTCTAGCTGATGTCTCAGTACCATCCTCGTCAATCGCCAAGATTTTCCAGCAAATTGTGATTGCTTTATCGGCAAGCGGTTGTATTCATTGTTATGTTTATTTTCATACTTTACATTTTTCATTGTTTCATTGTTGGCCATGACTGGACTGATCACTTGAGGTGACAGATTACAGCTACCAAAATAAAAACTAATTATACCCATTTAAATCTTGCTACTGCTGACTCGCTGGCTTATAAGAATAAAGTGCCATTATTGGTTGATCCACGTGACGGAATAGGCTGAGGCTCAGTCGACCATAATTTGTTAGCTAATGATAACCGAAGGGATATTCACACTCAATATTCCTTTTTTAGTAACTTCCAATTATTTCGTTTTATGATATTAAAAAACTAACGTGGTGTATCAAGTGACAGACTAAATACGTATCATACACTGATAAACTGCAAAAGATATCAAATTAAATGTTCCATACTATTTAAAATAGACTGTTCATAAATTTACGTTCTTTCGTTTGGCAGATAACTTTGATTACTCTCAGTGATAACTTGATAATATTTCTAATATGTGGACCTTGTAATCGATTATATTTTCACGACGCCCAAACAGTTGATCTGCATATATAATGCTTGTTGTACGTGACCGTTTCTACATTGTCACAAGAACATAATAAACATATTTTAATTCAACTTAGTCATAATACAGCAAAAGCTACCTTAGTAAATTTAAGCATATCAAATAATTACCTTCCCTTGTGCTGGGTGTCCAGGGTCCTTGAAACGTAAAGTACTCCGGTCGTTTCTCTCACGCTGAAGAACCTATGCTTTTTCATCAATACCAACCGTTCTTTTCGTACCACGAACTGCTCTTCCATGATGTAGGTAAGTTCAGCATTCTGATCGGCATCTAAGTCAAATGCAGCTACAGAAAGCACAGTGGAATTCTCCGTCGCAGATGATGTAACGGAAGCATTTGCGAAGTATGCATTTGACGTCTCATTATATGGAAGAACCGAAGTTAATAAGCTTCGGTACTTAGTCACATTGACTATAGGCACAAACGGTTTTTCCAGCACTGGTGCATTGTCGTTAATATCAGATACCAATGTTGTGAAGTGCCATTCTTTATGTTGACAACGTTCATCTTGAGGTGAGGGGACCACTAGTAATAAGTTATACATAGATTTCGTTTCCCTGTCCAGCGTTCGGTTTAGGATCACTTGAAATAGATTAATCTGGTTAGTTGTTTCTCTGTACAGACCAATCGTCTTTGGGTAGTTTATGCCGCCAGAACTCCTCTCAAATAATTGCGGTACACAGTCGTGGAAAATGGTGCTTGTGTTTTTATCAAAACAAAACAATGCAGCGGCACCGAAGACATTGGTTCCCACTGGTGCTGACTCCGAAACTTTGTATACGGAATTGTTTCTGAAAGGAATCTGTTTAACCTTGCCTTCGGAATCGGCGATCCCCAATACAGTACACATATCAGGTTGCATGTTCGGATTAACCATTTCTATTCTAATAAGAATGTCTGTGTATTCATGCCGCATGTCCTCAGTTGTGTCCACAAATCTCGCTGAATGGGCTTGAACTCTCAAAAGTACAGGGAAAACAACCGGAATGTTTTCTTGTCGCGCCACCGTTACCACCCCTGTGTTGGGTTCGATATAAAATTTTGCTCCTTTCCCTTGATGATATGGAAGGAAAAAAACAGGCATATGCAGTCATTTACTTTTCATAAGTTCGCATCCCAATATTGTGTCGGTAAACATATATTCATATAACTAGGCTTAAGGTTACTTTTAGCCAGCGTTATGAGGTCATAATGAGCGCTGTAACAGCGATAGATGTTCTATATAGGAGACGAAACAGCAGTTTACTTGCCAATGTAATATCACTGTCTAAAGCTGGTCCAGTGATAGCATCAAGCTGTAAATTAGGAAACAACATTGTTCATTGACAGTAAAACACTGAGAATAACATTATTGGATCGATAATACTAATTTTGTCTTGGGCTTTTCCAATGATGTGATGCGCGCAGACTGCAATAACATCTTGATAAACTCCAGGCAATGGCTGCATTAAATTTTCCTTTGTTTTGCGCAGGAAGAAGACAACGATATACACGGGCCTAATGCATTTATATAGTTTTGCACGGGTTGGATCTAGATGTACATATGGTCTTCCTTTTCATTACACTCCCACTGCAGGTATCGCTCAGAATAAAATTGGCTTTTGTCAGGCCAGGTTGCTTCACTAATTCCCATATGCATAATACTATATTTTTTCCTAAGAATTCGTCCTCTTTTTGGATTACAACTTTGTATATTGTGTATACGTTATGCTGCTCATTTCTCGTTAATGTTTCTAATTGTCCCTATATCCTTGGATTCAATTCAACATTTAGTTACCATATTTACTGCAAACTGCATTGATCAACCTAGTTTCAAGTGGTGTTTGTAGCACAGTCGTCGGATATGGTGCACTCGTGATGTATTCTAGGGTGTACTACTCGGCACCATTGCGTTCCTGTTCTGCAGCAAATCGGTATTTCAGCTGCTTCGGGCATCGTGCTTTAATTTGGCAGGCAACTTAAAGATTTAGGGAGTAATTTAGACTCATGAAGACTGTGACTTTTTACAGCATAAACTCCACTTCCTGGATTTGTACCCTCTTATCTCGACCTGTCTGTTAACGCGGTCAGTCTGCTATTTATATTCCCGGGGATTGGAGAGGTCAGGTATTGGTCAACACTTGTCTGCCAAATGCTACATTCTATTACTTCCGTGAAGCATCTAGGCGTACACTGTTGCTGCGATTTGAATTGATTGGACAAATAGAAAAGTTATATAGAAACGGTCTACACATGCTTTAGCAGCTCAGACATAACTTTTGCACCTGTTTTGAAAAGTTTCCACTCATCTTCTCTTACAACATAAGACCAATTGTCGTGGTCTAGGTGCACATTGTAAAGTCTAGCACCACGTGGCTAATGAGCCCATCCATGTTATAAGCGGGATATGGTTCGAAGACCCATGAATGATACTGTATCTGTACACAATGTCTTATCGACGCCTTCGAGTGTGCCTCGTAAAGTTTTACCCGTAATTTCATATGGGTGCGTTATCCATGCAGCGGTCGCTCTTGCAAGTAGCTATCATCATGCACGCCCGGGCACCTGTAGACCGCCGTAAATAAATATATTTAACAATATACTGCTCACCAACTTATTTGGGAATCGCATAGCTCATCCTCTCTACTTCGAGTAATGAGTGGTGAACCATTGTAACAGTTTGCTCGAGATATTAGTCGGTGCGTTCTCGGTTTTGGAACTAAGGTAATTCTTAGACCTGCTGTTTGCATATTACAAAGTGTGACAGCTCATCGCAGCTGAATTTGACGTCGTACAGCAGAGCTGCTTTCAGGTTGTACAGTACTAAAAGTCCTTATCATGTGTGTGCGCTCGTTGGTAAATAGATGGAGTGACACAGTTATGCACCTTCTACCTCTACTTCCTCCATGTTCGATACTAAGGAACTTTTACAAATGTTTATATTTGTCATTCAGATAACTCCTAAAGGCTGCAGCAAACCACAGCCGTAATGCCAAAGTTAACTAGTTTCGGATTCTCAAGGTCTGTGTAGTCCCTTATTAGTGTACAGTTTTTGAAAAACCTCTGATCATATTGCAATACTGTTGGGCATTTGCGATTCGAGTGAAATGATGGATACCTAAAATTCTTCATATGTGTAAGCTGTCCGCTGTTCACGAGGCAAAGCCGAACCTCATGAAGTCGGTTTTGTCTTCCCTTTCCTTATCGACATGCGTAGCCAACCCATCGTATGAAGGGCGCAACGTTGATATAAATTGTGGTTTTTTATTATCTAATGATGTGTCATCTTGAAAGGAGATCAATTATATTAACTGTCTCATAATGAACATTGTTTTTTAAGTTGAGAAAATTAGTTAGTGCCATTCAACGTCTGTTTATCAATGCAGCCGCTAGTTACCATTTAGCTAAGTAACTTAGTCATTGTAACCATCGAAATTTAAAAGGAATTCGTGGTCGTGATTTGTTACAATTACTCACTTATTTGTTGTAACCTAAAATCGAAACGTCACCACAAATTGTTTTATGATCCACAATGCCCTCATTTACGGCTACCCGGGATTTTTCTTATTATAAAATGTGGGTTTAACTCGATAGATAAAACAAATTTTTGTTAAGATTACCAACCTAGATATAATTTTGACTTCGCGTCGTCACACATCTGAGGTTAAGAATGTAAATACATAAAATGACACATCAGTCAGCGCTGGACTAATTAGTGGTTTTGAAGAAACTTCATACCATCAGTATCCTTATTTATACCGAATTGAATCAGATTGGAGGAGTGTTACATTTCGGGGAGCTTATAAGTAAATTTTTGCTAAATCAAAATTGGCCGTCATATAACGCATGGAACTAATTTTACATCACATATAGTAAATTGAGCCCACGGAATAATATCTCTACATGAAATACTTCTCACATGCGTTGGGGTGCATGCATATTTACAAGGAGCACGTGTGAGTCTGCATCAGCAATAATGACAGACTTATCAGAGGCGAGTGAACTTCAACTAACTCAGTTTAGTCTGTCACTACTGAGATACAGATTTTCTCAACCTGTGAGTCTTGCATTATTCATTTCAAACTTTTTTGCATTTTAAAGTGCATCGGGCGCACTACCATGCCTCCACTATCTACAGCTAGAAATTGTGCAAAGTTGATTTCATGTTGCTCCTGGTAACATAGTGCCGGTACAAAGCAAATCAGAATATATAATGCGTGGTTTCCTGTTGCATAGCAAATTGTTTGTAAACACGCGTTACAAATGACTAGGAGCCAGTTTACGCAAAAGATCCCAAAGTGGGTTAACCAGTTGTCTGCATTATTTAATGGTAACAAATAAAAGAGAATTAATGTATGTGAGTACACCAATAATCAGACTCTTTCAAACTTGGCTATGTTCTTAGACAATCCTTTACATAACCTTGTACGGATTGCTGCTGAAAGAAATTGATACTGCTAAGACAAAGTTTTGCCAATTTTTCGCTAACATCATAAGCTTGAACGTTGTCGATACGCATTCCACTATGAGATAAACTGTCTTCGTTCAGTGTATATTTAAGCGATAGCAATATTACGACACACACATTTTATAGAGAGAAAATACATATTTATCCTAAAAATAGAGTATTATACAATATTACTGGTTATAAATTAATTTGCTTCAATTCACCCTTTGTCACTCGAAAGCGTATAAAAAAGGTTTTGTTACACATTGGGATTGTTCTTGTTACCTACGGGACAAACTTGTAAATATTTATATTGTCCGGAGGAAGGCAACTACAAATGCCACTACCTTACCATATCTATCCATATCACCGATTGGTGTAACCACCAGTCTAACCTGAAACGCAATACGATTGATTAAAATATTTTCGTAACCATTTCTGCCTTAGTTTGTGCAATCCATGAACCACCCTCCTTACTACCTGACATTTGTCGCTGAAAGACTTTGAAGTTGCCTCAAACAAATGTATTACGATATGTAGCCCACTTATCATTGGACACAATCCGACTTGACTGACAGAGCAGTTGCCAGTATGGCCGTAAACAATCAAAACCTTTTTTGAGCACTGAATTTGTTCAACCCAAAAATGTTTCTTTTTGTGTGCATTGCTTTCTCTATTGCATGTTTTTTAACCTGTGGATCCCACGGGACTTGTTGAGTAATGCTTGTATGCCCAATGCAACAAGATCTCCGTAATCTAAAGCAATCCGCCTACTGTTGTAATCCAACCTTACCCTAGTTTGAGATGTCCTAGAACCATGGTTACTTTAGGACTAACAGTAAAAGCCTATGGGCAACATTTTCTGCAAATCTGAAATACAGCGGATCATTGAAGGCAAGTTGTAACCAAATCATTTTATAGATTTAAACATCCACACGAACTGAAATAATCCTAATATATTACGTATCTCCCAATAAAATTATCATTTTCACTGTATTCGAACTGATGTAAAAGTTTCTTGCAGCAGCATAAACTTGTTGTGCGCAATCTGTCATTAAAATAGCCTGAGTCGCAAGTAGAAGCACAAGAAACTCAAATTAATTTTTTATTCATTTTATGAAACTACTGATTTTCAGTTTTTTGACATCGAAATTATTAGAGTTTTCTAACCAGTATTTAACCTGTCGTACAAGATTAATCATTGGCTCAGAAGGTTCACACTGTCGAATAATTATATACAAATCAAGAAGAACATGTGCGTGTTTTTTTCTGATTGCGTGTCAGTTTAAGCTGAATTGACATGCTAGCCGCCCTGGTGCTGTGTTAAGATGAATTTCGCACATGCTTGAATGAAGAATTTAGCAGTTATCAGAAACGAACAATTGCTAGATAAAACGTCGTATGTGTCTATGGGCTCGCTACATAGCCTATTTTATATGACATTGTTTAACGCACAGCATTGTCGTCATCGATTTTATAGCAATGAGATGAAATCCCTCACCCATGTTCTTGTCCACGTGATGAAGCCGGAATTGTGCTGGCATGGACGTACCCACTTGGAACAACCGGCTACCTGCGGAAATGTTTGACGGTATGGTTAAGCACATGTCTGAGCTAGAGCCGTCATGCGAGAAGGGGATAATTAAGCCGGCGTTTTTGTCCGTAAGCTGTTCATTGTTTCCTGACAAACTGAAATTTATTGTACACTGAAACGTGACCTCCGGGCTCAAGCGCGTAATGTACGTGAAGCGAATTGCAGATAGGTTAGTAGCCGATAATTGAAATCGAATAGTTCTTTCGCTTGATCGCCGGATTGTTAAGCCTCCATCATGGCACACGATACGGATAAACACGTCGGAGATCAATTCTGGTCGCAGATTGTTCTGAGATCCATTATAATATAGATGAACATAACAAGTGATATGTGAATCCACATAGGAATGGTAATCTACTTATGTATCATAAGTGTAACATATTACTTCACAACAATAACAATGGGTTTCTGTTGAATATAAAACACAAATTAATGTAACAAAAACAGTATCTTTCAAGTCAATTAAGGCTAAACGTAAATCTACGCTTAAAATATAACTGCTTTGGAGAAATTTGTTCTTCAGTTTACGTTATCCACTTAACATAGAAGCCCCATCGCACATTACTAGAAGGAAATATTTTCCTAAACTGAAACTGTCTGTCTCCATTAAAGCGGATAATCGAGTAAATTTTAATTTTTGATATGACCGTCGGATCGCGGATATTGCTCATCAAGTATTCAAATAAAATTCTTTTTCAGATTATATTAGCGAAAATATATCTTGAGAATAAATGCACCACAAAATCTTAGTGGCATGATTTTGAGGTGGATTCCGTTGGTATTTGTAATGACAAAATTTAACACAACGTTTTCGGTAGGCTAAACTAATATATACGTATTTACCCCAATGTCTCCTAAATCAAAATCATTTATACTGGAAAGAGCTAGAAATTGGCCAGGTCAAGCAATCAGGATTTATCCTGTAAGCTCAATCACTGCTTTGTCATAATAATAACTTTTAGGCAAGATCAGTCAACATAAGTCGGCTGCCAGTGCAAAAAGGGCTTCTAATAAATATTTCTTATTGGTGTTGTGAAATCACCTGAGCTTGTTTTTGGCCCAAAGAAATTTGCGATCATTCAATGTTTTCTAAGGGGCCTTGTTTGTAAAGGTCAGCAACATTAAAACGAAGCTAATGTATTAAACATAGGATTAGTACTAAGAAGAAAATCGGAATATACTCTTTTTACCGCAGCAGGCCTCTAATGAAGCGAATCCGATACTACAGAAGAATAATCCACCGTTGCGACTGAATAAATTTCATTGCTATCTATTCAATTGTGAAACGTTTATGCAAATTAGACCAAATATTTTGCTGATGTGCACATGGTTAAAAATCTCAGGTTAATTCATGTGGAAAAATTCTAGTTAATCCCGTTTCTCAGGGCGCGCTCGTGGCGCATTATTATAATAGCGAATGGTTGTAGGTAACAACTGATGATGTTTTACAAAGTGTTGTAGAGCTAGTCACGTGGGAATAGCAGAAATTCCTTAAATCTAGACTTTGTCGGACAGCTATCACATGCTCAATGAAAAAGTGTGAGGACGTTTCGTTATATCAGGAATCCTAATGAAGCGTATTCCTTCTGAGATTTGTTGGGATTGAACGCGCAGTTTGACTGCTGCCAGCATGTGGCTAAAACTAAGCCAGAGCAACGGTAAAAACCATGGTAACTATCTACATGTATATGACTATAATGCTATAAGTTAATGGTCTGTTTATGCTTTATAACTTTGTCGCTGGATAGAGGTTTACCCTCTCATCTGCACGGAAGTAACTTGCAAACCAATAGACAATTGAGCTCCGCTATATCACATGTGTTGACTTATTCACGATGGCCGTTGCACGCTGTTCACAATTAGAGGCTGACAGGAGTCGAGTTGCCGTTTCAATTCCCAGAGGGATTATATTTTGCTTCATGCAATGTTATCAGAAAGTTTGTGACTATTTGATGCTTCAGTGCGGTCTAAACTTTGGGTAAGAACTGCAACTTCAGTGGTTGTGGTAAGCTTGATGTGTTTTATGCGTGGTCAAAATTATGAGGGTTTATTCTGCCGCGACATTGGAGACAGCATCAGGAGAATAATGAACAAAGGTAAAATAATGGATTATAATATAAAAGTACATTGTTAATCTCAGATTAAGTTTAATATTTTTGCCAAATCATTTATAAATATTTGAAATTACTCAACAATATATTTGGCAGGTTCGGTTCAACGAAAGATTACCTCCGCGAAATAGACGTGCTATTGGTGCTGAATAAAATTGGTCAGCAGAACCATGAGTTATTTGGATTATGTGCTTAGTAGCGGAGACAATTTTCGTCATATATTGTGTTGTCAGTCTGTTCATAGCGTAAAGGGTAAACAATTGCAATGGAAGGCAGACTACAAATATCCGGTATTGTAATTTCGATCTGATCAACACCGGTTAACTAATCACCTCCAGTTCAACAAAATTTCGGTTCCGTTTAAGTGAAATTAACTACTGTTTAAAATCTCAATAATTGATATTTGTCCGTTTAATGTTGGATTTAGTTGAAAAAGGCAACAGGTTCCGTTTAATTGCTAAAGGAATTTATACGTCAAAAATAGGTCCTCCCGACATTTACTTAATGCTCGGTAACATCAATTAGAAAGCGCATTTAAGCAGTCAGTGGCATGATTGTGCAAACCAACCGTTGTCGTTTTAATAATATAGGACTTCTCTTTGATTGCTTTCCAGTTTTTGTCCTCAGGAGTGGTCAAATTTGCTGCACTGTTTTCCGGGATTCTCAGACTTCCATTCCGTCTGCGTGTTTCTTCATCACTATATATTAATAGAGGTTGCAATTTGAGCAGTTTGTTCTGCGAATATTTCTTGATCAGTTTGAAATTTTTCTTTACAGATGATCGAAAGATGATGAATTGTTCATCGAACTGACATGTAACTGTACTGTTCTCCTGCAAATCTGGATCAACAACCAAGAGAGTGGCAAGTATTTTCTCTGAGTCATGCCTGCCCGATAATTTTATCACACCCTGGTTATGATCGTTTACTTCGTCCAACCTTTCCGTTTTCACCAATTCCCACAGACGTTTGCTCTGCTCTGTCATGTTGTGAGCTATGGCTTGTAAATCCAGCAAACGATACTGCTCTCCAGCCAGTCTGATTACCGGGACGTTGTCATTCACATCCAGTATGTGAATGTGAACAATAAGGGTTGAACTGTGAGACGGCTGACCATGATCTCTGGCCACAATAAGAATTCGATGTGTTCCGTCATGGAGAGGTGTGTTTTCTCTGTCCAGCCATAAACGCGTACTCAAATCTCCAGTTATTTTATCCAGAGTAAAGGTCTGAAAGTTGATAAAGAATTACTGTACCTATTTTCTATGTATATGTTTAAAATTGTGCATTGTATATTGTATTGTTTATTGTATATATTCCAAAATATATTTGCAAATTGAAAGACTGTTGGTGTATCATTAAAATTCTAAATGTCTCTATAGTTGTATTAGTTTAAGTATAGGTCATTGCAACTGCAACTCTGTAGTACACGAAATAGTTCATATGAATAGCGCAATTGTGTTGTTGGCCCAATTATATTCGGTTTTCCATGACATGTCATCGCATGATTAGCGTTTGGACTATTTTGGTCCATATGACACCGTAATGTATGTTGTGGCTAATTTAAACTACGAAATAAAAATGGAATTCCGGTTGACATGTTGTATGCTCATATTTAGAACGCGTTTCATACAAACTGCGTATACCATACGGTGGTGACAATTCACAAGCAACTACGGATAAAATGTCAGAAGTACATGCGCAAACATTAGGTTAATCACATCCAAATTAAACAATTTAATGTATTGGATTAGTCGTATTTTTAGGGTAGAGTCATGGCTTATGAAGAAGGGTCGGTCCGTGGCACACAGTATGTGACAAGGGGTGTCATTTCTCGTCCTGTTAATGGTTCCATACCAAATATCATTTAAACTATCCGGATAGGTTTAATGCTGGATACTGTAATTGTAATCTGTATGACCAACAAAACATTTGCATCATGTGATACCTGTGAAAACGTCATTCCGAGCAAGCCCCTTATTTGTTCCATTGAGATCACGTTTAACATATGTATGTCGATTTCACCAATGATGATCCCTTCCATAGAACAAAGTGCACTTCACCCTGAGACGAGTGTATAGCATTCAAGCACATATTTTGCCCTCAGTCAGGAAGGATATTATGCAAAGTCTCCCAAGATCCAAAAGTAGTTGCTGCTTCATTTCTTACGAAGTATAGTTAAAAATATGCTTCAATTACTTGATTATTATAAGGGAAAACTATCGAAAAATAACAAATCCACAATGTGGCATGGCGCATTAGTCACGTTTACTAGTGCAAAGCGTTTATAAAAGAGGAATTGCCGTATCCGAAATAGAAAATATAAGAAGAATACAAAACAAAATCTTTCAGCTAATAACAAATATTGCTCTTTCAGTTTATGAGCAGTCGAAGGAAAAATCTTTCTGAAACAAAACTCGAAAAATATAAACATATATCAAAATTTCCTGAATATCCACAGTCCTAAATTAAAAAAGAATATATCGTTTTATTATCAAAAAATCGTATTGAATGAAATGCATAATGCAATGATCTGGCAGTCATGTATAAGTGGAAAGTACTTCTGTAATAAAAATCATTTTTTTATCTGCGTTTGGTGGTCAAGAGGTGCAGATATGTAACTCATACCAAATGAATGATTAAAAACAAATCACCAAACGCGTTTCGCCTTATTAGGGCTCATTACTGCTAGGCATTCAATCGGTATTCTAAGGAGGATCGTACCCATGACGTCTAGAGACAGATGCTAACTAGCCAGCAGCTAAAACCACTAAGCCATTTGGGACGTATGCTGGGCTACATAATTTGCAAACTAACTGGGGTATTGCACCACCTAGCTGCCCCTGTCACGGATGGTGGTGAGCCTATGAGGTGATACGTCCTCTTATTCGACGCCACACCCATAATATTTAGAAACAAGGAGAGACTTTTTCTTTCACTTTACTCGTAAGCATCAGGATTTTAGTTATAATTTTGTTGAGGTTTTCATCCCAGTAGTTAACAAGCTACATATCAGAGCTTAGCCAGGTAAAGCACGAGACGCGTTTCGACCTATTTGTACGCATCCCCTTGGTCACCTAAAGAGGATCTAACCCATGACAGCTAAGGGTTGGTGTCATCTAACCAGCAGCTTAAGCCACGGAGCCATGGAGGACGTTTTTGGGGTACATAATTTACAAACTAACGGGAATACCGCACCACTTATATTCCACCGTCACTGACAGTGTTGCGCCGGAGAGGTGATGACGTCCTCAACAAAATTACAACTAAAATCCTGCTGCTTCGGAGTAATACAAAATAAATGACCTCACCTTGTTTCAAAATGATATGGAAATAGCATCTATTGAAAGGACATCATCAACTCGCGGGCTCACTACTCTTATTGACAGTGGAATATAGTGGTGCTATATCCCAGTTAGTTTGCAAATTATTCAGCTCAAAAACGTCCCCCATGGCTCAGTGGCTTAAGCTGCTGGTTAGTTGTCAGTTATCTCAAGCTGTCATGGGTTGAATCCTCTTTAGGGGATCGAGGGAATGCGCAAAAACGACGAGCCCCAATAGGGGGAATCACCTCTGGTGGTTTTCCGGACTAGGCTTCGCAATGTAGCTTGTGAACTATGGGAATGAAAATCTCAAAAAATTAAACTAAAATCCTGCTGCTTACGAGAAATACAAAAATATTTAAATTTAAAATAATTGATGACATTGCGAAGAGAAGAAACAAGTATTGCTGTTTTATGTTATCGCACGGCGAACACCACGAAATATGTTCACGCTTTATTTTATGCGCTACTAATTGGCAGTAGCAGTGGCGAAAATGACATTGAATCCTCCCTCCTACAAAACTTAGAACTGCTGATCAAGCTTTCCTAAGTTATTCGTTTTAGCCAGATCTATCTACTAATTGCAATTATATAAATTAAAATTCGAGGTATAAACACATCTTCCCAATACCCTGTTTTCACATGTTCACTGTGGGAGCCAATATACATGACATTCGTTTACTCTGCCGACACATTGTTTTTGGTGGCCTCATTTTGAAGACAACGCTGAGGAATGTTCAAGGAACTTATGATCACACCTGACTAAAGCTTTATATGACTGCTACAGTCCAAATTATTCCAACTGCAGCGGTCTGTTTGCCCATTTGTAATCCATTGCAAACACCCGTGGCTCGCGTGCGGCCGATCGCGCTCCAGCAGAATCAGTGACCAAATTCATGATCCTGCGACGTCCTCTTTCTAAATATAACCGTATGTCCAAGGCCTGGATTTGATCGACTTTCCGGCTCTTGACTTCGCCATGACTGGAACCTGGCAACTGTGCATCATCACATATTACGCGACACAAACAGTCAACGGCTGCATTTGTCCGTACAGCAAAACCACCTGCGTAGCTGACTTGTCCAGAGGCCAACGTCTCAGTACGCCAGCGTTAATGAATTCCGCACCCGGACTGATTGAGCCACAGACAAAACTTCAGCCGATGGAATAGAATCTAAACTGACCCAGCGAATGTGTCCTTGTACGTAGCCAGCCTGCGCGCACAAGCTACCCTCGCATTTAACGGAACGATATCATCCGTCACCATCGGACGGATGACGCCAGACTTACAAATATAGGAGAAAAATTACGCAGTTAAACAGGAACTTCCCGACAGAGAAATCAAGAAAGGTCAGTCTATACAATTGTATAACACCTCACTGATTTAACCTACGTAGTTTCACATGATTCTGTAACATTTTCCTGGAATCATATGGTTACAATAACAGCCACCTATAATGCCGTGTAGACAAATCTGCTCTTATACTGTCTTCCTAAGCTTCAGTGACCATAAAATCCACAAAATTGCCAAAATCCAATTAGCCTCCTTGACTTTGATGACGTTCGGTTAAGCCGGTTGAGAAACTGAACTATGCACTCACTAAGTTATATATATAAAAGAAGGCAGACGGGCTCAAAATAAACTTGGCATCTTTTGGTCACTTGGCAACAACACCCAAATACTCGAATCACTGAATGGTCCACTGCAGACAACGGCAAGCCCATACAATGGTTATTTAAACCCACCGTTAGTTTATTGATTCTGTTGCGGCGGAAGTGTTTAGCAGAATACGATGTTCCAAAAATGCAGTGGCTTTGAATTTGTCCGACAACATGCCAGTAGAACAATGCTAAAAATCTTGCTTAGAACAGGTAATTTGAAAGGCACGGTGTGCAAAGTTACATGACTCCGTCCAGTACTCTTTTAATATAACGACGCATTTACGGCAAACTGGTCCCTCAATATAGACTTAAAGCTAGAAAAATAAAGTACTTTCAAAACACCTAAGAAATCACTTAATAAAACGCTGCTGCAGTGCGAATTCTGGTGAAGTCATCTACCGCTGCCATCGAAAGACGTATAACCTGTTAAATCTGACATAGTTGTTGACACGGACGCCGAAGTTTTGCTTGAGATACTTAGTTGCACCGGGATTCAGTCTGTGCTAAATTTAAAATTACTAGCCAAATGAGGTTAAATAAGTTGGAGCAGCTCCTCGAAACATCAATTAGACAAACACTCTGACAAAATCAATGGCTCAAACCGCTATCACCGTTGCGGAGACGTCAAGCCATGTAACTAATACACCTTTCCATTCTTCGATTTGCAAACCACTTACTAAAAGAAGCCAAAGCATTAGTTAGAATTACATTGTAAGCAGCGATGCATCATGTGCTTCACATAAATGCAACTAATATTCCACTTCAAAGAATGTTTGCTCAGGTCCAGAGCATTGCTTTGGCCCATCAGTATCGTTACCCCTACTAGTTGATATTGATATGAAGAATTGTAAAAGCACACAGGGAAACCAGTTAGAACGTAGCAAACGGGGTAGGATAATGTGTGATTAAATGGCAGTAGTAATTTATTCGGAAGCCTTACTACCACTAACTATTGTAAAGAAAAACCATTTGTACCATCAAACTACCGAGTCGCTTATAAAGGAATATTATAATAAAATACACCCTTTATCAGAGGGAACTTGAGCCCAAAGTAAAGCATAAATCTAAAACCCCGTACTGCTGCCACGCTCACAATAACTGTTTATATAATGCAGGCTACAAACCTATCGGATGTCTCTCTGACATAAATGTCATGCCGCAGCAACATTTTGCGCCTACTTCTCTACGGGTATCCTATATTAACTTTGGTCCTCCGATTTATGTTGACTTTGTCGCTCTACC